TTATGGTGGAGCTTGAAAGAGAGTCGGACAACAGGTGGCACTTCGCGGATGGTCGGAGGCACCTTGCGGATAAACCTGCGGAGCGGATGGCTATCCGCAGGTTCGGTCGAGGCACTAGCATTTAACTCGCGTAGACTCGCACAGACTCGTACGTGAGTCCAACAAGCATGAGTCGTGCGAGTCTCGCCGAAAAGGTTCAACACGAAAGTTCCGAATCAGCATGACGTCAGCGGAGCCCCTCCTGTACCAGTATGGCTCTTCAGGATTGGCTTCGGACTGTGTTCAAAAGCTAAGTGGCTGGTACAAAATCGCTAGAAGCTCGCCAAATGACATCATAGTTATTTAAGGGACACCTATAATATTATTATTATTACGCTGATCTGTCGGTGGTCAACTCACTCGATCCATCAACTCACATCAATCGTCGTCGTTCGATACGGAAGGTCCTGTCGCATGGTCCTGTCGTTCGCATGGCATTGCTGTTATTCTCTCTCTCTCTCATGCAGAGGAAGTTCTCTCTCTGGTGGTGTGGTTGCCGTCTTGGCTGGGGTTCATCTTGATATGATAGAAGAAGGAAAGATGAGTCAAAATTCCAAATGAATGTGCCCCACATCATGTACAAGGAGTTGGGCTGCTTTTTTCCAGCCATTTGAGGCGCAGCTCCTCCAATGCTTGCAAGGATGTTGTCCTCTGCTTCTCTGGACTTGATGGTCCCCGCCACAGTCGCCGGCAATGGTGGGAAAGGAAAACAACAGCAGGGAAGGTATCTCCTCCCCAAGCGCCGCGAGGCCACCACGGAGGAGTTTCAGCTCGCCAACCATCCCTTCAATCAACGACAATGCAAAGAGGAAACAATCTGATAGAACACCAGCATCACCAAGCCAGACTCCGATAACTCCTGTCATCCACAAGAGGATCCACAATGCTGCTGCTAGAGGTCCTTTTGGATGCGTCCAAGGCAGAAGGAGTCTCTGTAGACTCTTCGACTTGACTGAGGCGGAGAGCAATCCTTTGCCAAAGCATACTCAACAGATGGTGGAGTCAGTGCTGTCTCTTTTCCGGAAAGACGATTCGATTCAAGCACAATGGTGGCCACTCTCAACAATTGTGGGTGCTTGCCAGCGTCTTGCGAACTTTGACCGGTCGACTCCCCTTGTCACGGGTACATATCGTCTTCAATTTGCCGTGGACACGACTCTTGAAGGTTTATTGCATCCATCATTCATTGATGTTGTTGGCGATGCAGCTTCACTGGAAGACGGATCAAAACAAGTTTACATTCGTCAAATTAAAAAAGAAGCAGCAATTTACGCAGATTTCTCAGAATCCGTTCCACGGTTGCCCGAAGCTGCTGCCAGGAACGCCTCGGAATGGATGCAGGAATTGAGGGCCACTCGGCTGTCACTGAAGCCATACATGTCTCTCGAAAGCTATGCAATGATCAATTATTGGTACTCTACCGAAGCGGAGAGTCTTTTTGGTGCAAGAGAAGGGGAAACAGCGAGAGAGGCTGCCCAAACGCTCCAGGCACTGCTGAAAGACGCTTCCAAGAGCACTGAACGTGCTAAAGAGCTGATTATTGGTCTTGGTAAGATGGATTCCAAGACGTACTATGTTGACAACTACGATGGAGAACCACTGGAAATGACTTTTGATGGTGTCAGAGTTGAAAAGCTTGCTACCGCGATCAATAAGAGAGCATCGTATTTGGTCCGTGCCATTACTCTGATGCTTGAAACTGATGCCGAAAATGAGCTTCCCAATTTTGCAGACAAATGCAAACAAGCACTGGCAGAAGTCCAAGCAATAACGTTTGATACTTCAATCACCAGTCCACGGATGATCGGGGAGTGGCTGCGGCAGTTTCGAGTGCATCGACGGTTCCCTAATCCCTTGATGAAAGAAAAGATTGGCATTGCCCTGTTTGTTAACCACCCAAAAGCTGCTATTGCCATGCGAGACTATGGGAACAGCAACATCGAGCAACTCTCCCTTGAGTCTATGGGAGACTTTGTTCATGACACTCTTATTCCAAAGCTTGCTGCGGAGGAAAATGTTACGAAAGAGAGATTTCTGAAAGCAAATGGACTCAAAAATGTGAGCAACGATACCATCCATCGTTGGCTCCGCTTCCTTGGCTTCAGGCGCAGCGTGTACAAGAAAGGTTTCTATGTTGATGTGCACGAAAGACCCGACATTGTAGAGTCACGCATCAACTATTGCCTTGAGCTAATGAAACTGGAAGTTCATTGTGCTGTTTGGGTGCAGTTGACGCCCGAAAGAGTAAATGAATTGAAAGAGGCAAAAAGAATCAACCCTGACAATCCAGGCATTCCTGTTATAACTGCTGCTGAAGGAAAAGCGCTCCTGGAATTTCATGTGGATGATATCTTAGATTCCGAAACCCTACCGGAAGTTGTGGAAAGTGACGACGGTAGCAAATTTGGTGGCAATCATAGCCTCAGGCTGTCTCCTCCTGATGACGATCGATTTATGCTTTGGGGCCAAGATGAGGTTGTTTCCAATGAAAAGGCGATGAATTCCATGGCATGGTATGGGACTGAAGGCCAACAAGCGCTTCGCCCCAAAGATTTGGGTGCTTCGATCATGATATCTGGCATCGTAAGCAGAGAGGCCGGTTGGTTGCCAATGCCTACGTTTGAGCAGCTACTGCGTATTAACCGAAACAGAGAAGGCAAGACGTATGTTGCTACGGAAGCTGCCATTGCTGTACTGGGCAGTGCGAACAAGCGTCCCTTGACTGAGGATGATATACGGTGCTGTGCTTTCCAATGGCACATCCAGCCAGGCCAGAATAACGAGGGGTATTGGACCAACAGTCATACCCTCGTCCAGTTTGAAAATGTTGCCGACATTGTCAATGTGATGTTTCCGAACCACAAGCACATCATCTGCTATGATCATAGCCAAGGCCACTGTGCCAAGCGAAAGGATGGTTTGGATGCCGCCAGGCTCAACTTGTATCCAGGAGGTCGGCAACGGTGTCTCGGAAACCACGACAACAACGGATTGAGGCTAGAAGTGGGTGCAGTGCAATCGAGTGTCTTCCATGACTCAGACCAAGGACCGGCTTGGATGACACCAGAGGAGCAAGCTGACACAAAATACGACAAAACGTTTGATGGAGAGGTAGTGAAGCGGACTTTGCGATCAAAGAAGGAGATTCATGCATACCTGCGTGACAAGCTTGGTGAAGCTTCAGGATTGCCCGCAGATTGCTCCCACCTATCCTTGGCATCGTTACGAGATGTGGCAAAGAAGAACAAGCTACTACCAATGGTTGTGGAAGAAGTCAAGAAGCAAAAAGGATGGGTAAACGCTCCAAAAGGAGCACTGCAATTGTGCATTGAGCGTGGCTTGATTGACTTGAGCAACGTGACGAAGAAGAAGAAAAGCTATTACACGATGGACGGCCGAAAGGATCCCAGGAATCCTGGCCACATAATCGAAGGGACGAGTCTTCGACTGCTACTCGAGCAGTGTGACGATTTCCGACGAGAAGTCTCGATGCTAGAATGGGTTGCGAAGCAGTACAACTGGAGAGTTCTGTTCTCACCGAAGTGTCATCCTGAAATCGCAGGTGTTGGTATAGAGTACGATTGGTCCGTGGCAAAGAATAAGCTTATGCGCATTCCACTGGCTGAGCGAAAAGGAAAGGACAAGTTCCTGGACAAGGTGCTGAACGTTTGCTTCGACAACAAAGCTACTTTGACGAAGAGAGTGGTCCGTGGTTGTGCTCGTAAAGCAAGACAGTTCGTCATTGCTTATCTCCTGCTTCATGCAATCGAAGCTGCCAAAACAGAAGACGATGGCAACGGTGGCAACGGCAACCAAGCTTTGACTGGAGAGGTTTCCGTGGAAACAGTTCGGTCAAAGAAATCCGAGCTCAAGTTCGCAACTATCCACGCCGCTAGAAAGATGTACAAGCGACACCGAGGCATTGCTATCTTCAACCGCGATGCCGACAAAATATCTTTCAGTAGCAGCGAGAGCATTGCGGAGTTTATGAGAAAAGCCAACAACAAGAAATAGGTAGCTTATATTTTATACTAGTAGCTACTTCGGATTTGATATAATAGACTCGTTGAGCCAATCAAGATGGCCATTGAACTCCGGATAGATACAGCAGTCCTGACGAGAGGAACTCCGTTCGTGTCAGCTTCCTTTTCGACTAGGCCATCGCTTCACGCTTCGATTGGTCGGCATGGATAAGAGCAGGACGGAACAGCTTTGCAACGCGCCTGTTCTCGCGGTGGAACGGCATTGTAACTTGGAGTTTCGTAATGGTAAAGCTTCCCGCAAATGTCACAACATCAACCAAGGCTTTCTGCGGTCCATGAGTACCATTCATCGTCTGAACGGCTCTTGTTTTGTCAATACTCCAATCGGCTAGAGGCGGCAAATACAAGTGAGAGACGGTGGAGTCACAACCTCCATCCACTTGAAGCCGAAACTGGCAAGATGAGCCCCGCAACTTCTGAAAGGTGCATTGGCCAGCTACAACCTTGTAGGAGCCATCAGCCATCCAATAGGCTACATTGCACTGGAAAACCATGGCAGTTATATGTCCATCCCCAGCATCAGCCATGACAGGATCCCAGAGCTGATTCATCTTCCACTTGTTGTTTGTTGGAGCAGAGAGGAAGATAGGGGCTTGTTGGGTGTCGTCGGCTCGGTGGCTGTTGGCTGTCGTCGGTGGCTGTCGGTGGAACGGGCTAGCTAGCTTTCGGTGGATTGTGTACTGTCGGTGGATTGTGTACTGTCGGTGGCTCGTGAACTGTTGCTGTTGGTGGAATTGTGGCTGTGGCTGTCACTGAATTGTGGGCTGTCGCTGGAATTGTTGACTTCGTCGGCAATCCTTCACTCAAAAGCCCCGGCAAATTCAAATTCAAATTGATTAGTCGTCGTGGATTGATCAGAGCTCTGCAACAGGCGGCAGACCTCACAAATCTCCTCATCCGACTGAGCAAACAGCAACCATGGTCACTAGCAAGGTCTATCCTGTTCCATTCGAAGACAAGCTTGGCGAAGATGAGCTCAACAGGCTCAAGAGGCGCATCAATGAAGCTCTTTTTAATGACAAGGAACGAAACACCAATGTCATTGTCTTTGATCGCAATCCTCTTTCTGACAAGGAGTTGGATGAGGTCATGACCTACATCAGCAGCCATGCAATTGTCACCTCTGTCAAGCACACCATGGACGCCATTGAGGCCACCACTGAGGATGATCGCAAGGTCAACATCACTCTCTTTTTTGGTGGTATCTGTTTCAACCGCAAGATCGTTCAAGCCAAGAAGAAAGCTCGCGAATCTGTTGAGTCTGCAGACTCTGCTTTCGGAGCCTTTGAGGATGTCACCGGTCAAGGATTGACACAAAATCGTTGATATGTTCGCTCCTGCCGCTGCTCCTGCCGATGCTCCTGCCGCCAAAGGATTGGATGCTCTTTTTGAACACATCGACGAGTTTGACCTTGATGATTAGAGCAATCGAACGACGCCATCCAAATCAGCCGCTGAAGAGTAGCTAGACCTTAACCACAGAGTGTTGGCTGCTACTGCGTCGTTACATGAGCGAAAGGAAGAGTAGCTAGACCTTAACCACAGAGTGTTGGCTGCTACTGCGTCGTTACATGAGCGAAAGGAAGAGGAAAGAGGACGTCATGGTGGTGTTGTGCTCTTCAATAGCAGATTGATTGATGTGCTGTTACGGAGGCACGAAAAAGAAGAAAGAATAATAATAATAGTATAGGTGTCCATTAAATAAAGATGATGTCATTGGCGATATTCTAGCGATTTTGTACTAGAGACGTAGCTTTTGAACGCATTCCGAAGCCAATCCAGAAGAGCCATATGTGTGAGAATCTCGATGAATCACGGTTGTGGCATCTACCGTACGGTACGGTACTGTACCAGGTACCATTACCGGTACCTGGTATCGAAGCGGCGGCACCCGTTGCTCTCAATGTGGCGGTTCAGGTTTGCGTATGGATACCATTGTGAATTGCAAGCCACGCTAGTACAGCTGTACAGCCGTAGCTACTGGTAGCATGCACGAGGCCTGTAAATCGATGCTTCAAAACCAGACCGGATCTGGTGGAGGACGACGCCAAGACCGCGGTTGGCAATACATGTAGTGACCTTTTGTCTTAATAAGACTTACTGTATTTTGTTGCATTCCAAGTACACAGTTTCATAAGGCTGCTTGCTTGGGAGGGCCCACGTTGGCACGAAACTTGGCCCATCACCACTTTGTACCCACTACCCATACCACCGCTCTGCCTAGCTTAGCCCCCCTCGCTCCTTAACGTATCTACGTAGAATGACAGCAACAGCCTTTGCTACTTGCTGATGCTGTTGTGGTCTTTTGAAAGATACCAGTATAACATGAGCAAGAAAGCACCACAAAGTTCTTAACTATTGCATAGCAATAAAAAAACATGGAAGCATCAAGCTGTAGAATTCGAGACGTCAAAAGATCCATCTGCTCCAACCAAAACATCAACGGTGAATTCAGAGAAGCTCCCCCCAGCTACCAACGAATACAACACTGTTTGGCTGGTGGCTGTCAGAGTGATCCAACCAGTGCCTATGCCGTCACCAAGACTGTCAGATACAATCAATCTGTAGGCTGTGTCAGTGTTGACCGGGAAGGGAAAGGAGTAAAGATAATTTCTAAACTCCAGTGGACCACCTGATTCCAGTGTGTCCCAAGCACCAGTCCCGATTGTTTGTTGTTGCCAAGTCCATGATGTTTCCTGTGGTTCTATATTAGTTTGGATATTGAGCATGACATCAGCACTGCTTGTTGGAAACCGCCCAGGCCAATCAGGTGGAGCTTCAGTGAGGTCAGAACAGGTGGCAACAGGAGGAGTTTCATTCAGGGAGCAATCACACCGCAGCAAAAAACAAAGATGCCCTGGGACAGTTCCTGAGAACTGATTCCCATCTAGTCTCAACCCCATGGAAGCATTCAGTTGGCTGGGCAGTGTTCCTGACAGGGTATTGTTGTGAAGTTCCAAAGATTTCAAAGATGTCATCATGCCAATTTCTGTTGGGATTGTTCCGGTGAACTGATTGTCATAAAGGTGAAGCTCCAACAACAAGGTCAGGAGCCAAAGCTCCATGGGAAACGGGCCAGTGAACTGGTTGCCGTTCAACTTCAGCGAAGACAAAGCAGGCATTGCACCAAGTTCAGAAGGAATCAAATGAGTCAACTGATTTTGATCAATGCGAAGCCACTCCAATGAGGTGAGGAGCCCAAGCTCAGAAGGAAGTGGGCCTGATAACTGATTAATAGAGAGATCAAGAACGCCCAATGAGGTCAGCAGTATCAACTCAGAAGGAACTGGGCCCCCTAGCAGATTCCCAGACAACCCTAGAGATTTCAAAGCAGTCATTGTTGAAAATTCTGGTGGGAAAAAGGATGACAATGGTCCACCAATATCATTGTAAATCAAATGAAGCCTGGACAATGAAGTCATGAGGGTAATCTCTGGGGGCAGCACTGGTTCGAGACCTGAAAGCTGAAGGTCATTAAGATCCAGTGAGGTAAATTGTCCATGATTATTGCATGGAGATTCTGGGGATGCAAGCTCGTAGTATTTTCCATCCCAAGTTGCAAAGAAACCAAACCCACTGGAGAACCAGTTGCACTCGTCCACAGTATCATCCATCCATCGCTCCTTTATTAAAGGGTTCCACTTGTTTCCCTGAAAGGCGTAGAAGAAGGCGGCAAGAGCAAACAGTTGCTTCTTTCTCCATTCACTCAAGTATGTGATGTTTTGGTGATTGGCTAGCCATTGCCATGCCCTCCACTGTGGAGTCTCACTGCCATTGTTGATGCCGGCCAAAGTGTAGTCAGGGAGACTATCGAATAGCAAGTCTAGAACCCCAGTGGGAGCGGAGGATGGGACTTTGGATGGAGTCATGGAACCATAAGCAGTGGGACTTTCTGATGAAGGCACGAGATCCACCTCTGGTTGTTTTTGGCCTTTGGTTTTAACCACAGCTGCAACAGTGGATGCTGCCACAATGAGAAGACAAACTGCCACAGCAATAAACAAATGATGCTGTCTTTTCTGAGTCTCTTCTCTTTGCTGAACCTGTTGTAGATCCACTGGAGCTGCAGATTGCCTATCATTTGTCTCCTCATCTTCATCTTCCCATACTAGATCTGCCACTGCCAGTTGCTGCTCACTAGTGCTGGCGGGCAATCCATCGATAATTGTTGGAAGCGGCGTGGTGGAATCATGATGATCTCTATCGTCCCTCTGCAGTAATACTGGCTCACCCTGTTGACCAGTGGCACCGGCACCAACAAGGGAGAATCGTAGGTCAGCTGCGCGTTGCAAGGCTTCTCCCGGTAAACCCAAGTAGGCTCCTGGTCTCGACGGCTGTTGTTGTTGCCGTTGCCTCCGTGGAGAATTTTCTTCTGGTTGTACATCTTGTTGTTCAATTGAAATAATAAAATTTGTAGCATTCCGAGAGTTTGCAGCATTGGCAATTTTTTCCATTTTGGCATTTTCATTGATTTCAATTGCCATTTGCGTGAGATCGTTGGTGGTCGTGCTATTATCTTCTGTATCCTCCAACATAATTAGTGATGTTGTCAATCCTTTGACAGGAGGAATAATACTGGCAGCAGCTGCCTGTTGCTTTGGGAAAAATGATAGCCGGTGGAGTGGTTGGGTGCTGTTGCTGAGCTCCTGAGCTTCCATGCCGGTATGTTTGTGTTCTTGCTTTTTATTAATAATAATATCATCGTTCTCCTTCAACATTTGTGCGGTTGCCAAACCGGCCTGATTGGCCACAATTTTTATGATTTCTTCTTCATCTACCCCTTGATTGGTTTCCCCTGTACCGGTAGTATCTGTCAACTGAGTTTTGGCATTTCTACCATTGGCAAACGCCGTGGGCGAAGTTCCAGGGGTCTTGCTGGCAGGCAGTTTCTTGACAGCTTGCTGTTGTTGCTGCGTGTTTGTGATGTTGGTTTTGTCATGGTCCTGTTGACATTGTAAGGCTTCTGCTTCCACCCTTTTAATCAGGGCGTCCCTTACTGCTGGGTCCAGTCCCTTTCTGCTCGAGTTCCTGACATCCCTACCGTTGCGACCGTCATGACCAGCGTTCCCAGAATCTTTCTTCCCATTCAAACGATTGTCTTCTTCTTCTGACATCCCTGATGTTGTAGATGCGTGATGGAGATCTCGATCGAGTCCCAGCCACTGCTGCCTCAGCTTCTGCGCTGTGCTATTAGAGATAAAGGCAGGGCAGTGGGTTATAGTAGTAGATAGCCATACAATAGAGATCTCTCAAAGATCGAAGAGTGGTTACGCGTGTACATGGCTTAGAGGTCTTGAGAGTTTTTGTTCAGGATCCTGGATCCTGCATGCCCTGGAACATAGTATGGTCGCGTTTTGGACCCCCAAGATCTTCAATGAAAGCCTGACCCTTAATCTGTTCTGCCGTTTCCTTCCGAAACCTCAAAACCTTGTTAGGTTAGGGGGGGTTTTAGAGTAGGGAAATTATCTACGGAAGCCAGCCGGGGCCAGGCTTAAGCAAAGAACAGTCGAAATTCAGGACTAGGTTCTGTGGGATCAGGGGCAAGAAATTGAGGAACCTCGTTAGTGATGGACCTTCAAAGCCGTGAAGACGATTGATTGAGGATATAGCCTGCTCTATACTGTAGCTAGTTCGGTATAGAAGTCAAGAGAGCGAGATGAACGTCAACTCCTCTGAAGTTAGCGATGGTGCTGCAGGGAATGGTCCTGAAGATGGTGTCTCGATATCCCTCCAGGAGAAACTGCAACCGGCCATCTCATTGCTCTTCCCACGGACCGATAAGGACAAGACATTGAGCGACAGGAAGCATTTGCTACGTTACTTTGAGGAGAATGATGTTCAAGACTTGAGTGATTTGGCCAAATTTGATCTTCTGTTCTTGATGGAAAACTTGGCGACGCATCGACTGAACCATCCGTCTGTCTGGTCGCCACTGGCTCAAATTTGCGAGTACATTGCCACCTTTGGAACCGACCGCTTTCTCGAGTTGATTAATGTCAACACTCGTACCGAACAGCATGTTTCCAAAAAGCAACGATTGCTGCAAGGCAAACCAAACGTTTCGGTCGTCCGAGCCGACATGGAAGCACAACTCAAAGAGTTCCACAGGCGTTGCAAACAGATACAGAAACCATGTCACGCTCGCATCCTGCAAATGACACCCGCTCAGCTGCAAGAATTGTCCATGGTACAAGCACGCAATTGCCTGCGAACTTTGTTTCGTGACGCCAATCCCTGGGTTATGATGATGTACCAACCACCAGAAGACGAGCCAAATTTCCCACACCAAATTGTTCTGACACTTCTCCAACGCTTTCCTCTCTTGGCATCAATCTCGTACCACGTTGAGGATGATGGTTATTTGCATGCGGGCATGTATCCATTCCATTTCTTTGCCTGGTGTGGTTGCTATGACAAGGCAGTTGTGGAACAGATTTTGCAGTACTATCCTCGAGTTTTGTACAAAAACAAGGAGGGAATCATTGATTTCTTAGAAGCGACCTATTCGCTCCAACATGGTCGCATTCCACTCCGATGCTTCCAAAGTCTACTCTCCGTTCATCCCCAACCCGCGCACGGCAGAAATGACTATGACGAAAACATGTTGCTATTGGAACGATTGATCAACTTGGAGTATGGGGCGGATGTCCTCGACTATGTCTACACGTTTTTGTCGGAGGATGTCGATCGGTTAACCTTGACCAATGCCTTGCAGTTAAATTGGAGTCTCGGCATACATCAGGCACAAGTCGCCAACAAGGTGATTCCACGCGTAAGGCAACTCGAATTGGATCCCTACGAATGGACCCCGGAAGGAGCCGCCACCATTCAACAACACTTGGCTACCCAAGACCACGCCAAGTTGGAATCGTTGACGATGTCCGTCTTTTTAAGTGATGAAGAAAACGACAATGACACTACCTTTGCCACACTCTTGCACAAAAAGACCAACACGCCCGCTACCAAACACTTGAATCTGAAAGGCCGCCTCCATTTCAGACGACCTAACCCCAATGAGCATGTTAGAGACTTCATCATTCAAGATCGTGGATTGCGACAGATTGCCAGCGTGATATCGTCGACTGCGTCGGATTGGAAATTGGACACGTTGACGCTAGAACGGTGTAGTGTGACATTGGAGTTTGTCCACACGCTATTTGCAGATTCGCAAGATCATATTGGGAGCTTGGATGTCCAGCTCGATGGCCAGAAATTCGCCTGTCCGTGGGAACCTATTGACGAAACGGCAACGCAAGAACTCCGTTTGGGACGACTCAACCT